AAAACTATGTTTAAAACCAACTATGGGCTGTATGAGTGGTTAGTAATGCCTTTTGGGTTATCAAATGCCCCTAGTACCTTCATGAGACCTACAAACCATGTTTTACAATTTTTCTAGGTAAATTTGTGGTAGTTTCCTTTGATGACATCTTGATTTACATAAAGTTTTCAAAGGATCACCTTCAACATATCAGGTTTATGCTTGAGGTCCTTAAGAAAGACTAGTTGCATACCAATGCCAAGAAGTGTATCTTCTTCACTGAAAAAATTGATATTTTTAGGGTTTGTAATTAGTGCACTGGACATTGAGGTAGATGAGAATAAGGTAAAAGCAATTAGAGAATGGCTACCATGACATCAACTAGTGAGGTAAGGAGTTTTCATGGTTTGGTGAGCTTCTATTGCAGGTTTGTTAGGGATTTCAGTTCCATTGTAATATGATTAAAAGAACTAGTAAACAAAATGTAAAGTTTATATGGACTAAAAAAACAAGAGCATTCTTTTATTTTATTAAAAGATAAATTATGTTCTATAACTATTTTAGCTTTACCTGACTTTAATAAAATTTTTGAGCTTGAATGTGATGCTTCAAGTACAGGTATAAGAGCAGTTATGATGTAAGAAGGTCTCTCTGTGGCTTATTTTAGTGAAAAGCTTAGTGGCACACTGTTGAATTACTCAACCTAAGATAAGGAGTTATACACCTTGGTAAGAGTATTAGAGGTATGGCAACACTATTTATTACCAAAGGAGTTCGTGATCCACACCAACCACGAATCCCTAAAATATCTAAAGGGCCAAGGTAAACTCAATCGTCATCATGGTCAGTAAGTCGAGTTCATTTGAGTTTTTCCCCTATATAATCAAGTATAAACAAGGTAAGAATAATATTTTTACTTATGCATTATCTCGCAAGTATCCTTTAATTTCTACACTTAGCTCTAAGTTATTAGGTTTTGAATATATTAAGGAGATGTATGCTAATGATAACGATTTTTTCACTGTTTATCATACATGTGAGCATTTGACATTCTAAAAATATTATAGGCATGATGGTTTTCTCTTTAGAGCTGGTAAGTTATGTGTACCTAACTGCTCACTTAAGGAATTATTGGTGAGTGAGGCTCATAGTGGGGGATTGATGGTGTATTTTGGGGTAGCTAAAACTCTAGACATATTGCTTGAGCATTTTTATTGACCTAACATGAGGAAAGATATTCAGCGCATTTATATTAGGTGCATTCCATGTAAGCAGACAAATATAAGGTTTTACTTCATGGATTATATACAACTTTGTCTGTACCTACAGCACTTTAGATAGACATATCTATAGATTTCGTATTGGGATTTCCTAGAACTAGGAGAGGTAATGATAGCATATTTATCATCGTAGATCGAGTTAGTAAGATGACACTTCATTGCATGCCATAAGACTAATGATGCGACAAATATCACAAAATTTTTTTTCAGGGATGTTGTGAGACTTCATGGTATTCTTAAGACTATTGTGAGTAATAGGAATGTAAAATTTCTTAATCACTTTTGAAGAGTGTTATGGGGTAAATTAAGAACTAAGTTGTTATTCTCTACCGCATGCCACCTCCAGGAGCATTCAAATCTCTATAAGGTTTTCACCTTTTTGATATTATTTATGGTTTTAATCCTTTAACTCCGTTGGACCTCATGCCTTTACCTTTGCAGAAAATTCAGAAC